ATAACTAGCACTAAATAAATAAGAATGCGTTGGTTTGGTTGGATTTTGATGCTCTAAAACTAGCGTTAAATAAATAGGAATGCGTCGGTTTGGTTGGATTCCGATGCTTCATAACTAACACCAAATAAATATAATTGCGTTGGTTTGGTTGGGTTATGATGCTCTATAACTAGCACTAAATAAATACCAATGCGTCGGTTTGGCTGGATTCTGATACTGTATAACTAGCACTAAATAAATAATAGTGCGTTGGTTTTGTTGATTTCCGATGCTGTATAAATAGCACTAAATAAATAATGATGCGTTCGTTTGGTTCGATTCTCGTAATCTATAACTAGCACTAAATAAATAAGAATGTTTCGGATTGGTTTAATTCTGATGCTCTATACATTGCACTAAATAAATAAAGATGAATTGGTTTTGTTGGATGCCCTATAACTAGCACTGAATAAATGATGATACGTTGGTTCTTTGGATGCCTTATAACTAGCAATAAATAAATGATAATTCGTTGATTTGATTGGATGCCCTGTAACTAGCAATAAATAACTAACGATGCATTGGTTTCGTTGGATGCCCTGTAACTAGCGCTAAATAAATAATGATACGTTGGTTTGGTTGGACGCCCTATAACTAGTGTTAAATATACCTTTATACATTGGTTTTCTTGGATGCTCTATAACTAGCACTAAATAAATAACTTCTTTGGTTTGGTTGGATTCTTATACTCTATAACTAGCACTAATAAGTAACTGCTTTGGTTTGGTTGGATTCTTATAATCTATTACTTGCACTGAATAAATAATTATGCGTTGGTTTGGTTGAATTCTCTTTAACTAGCACTATATAAATAACGTTGCACCTGTTTCGTTGGATTCTGCTACTCTATAACTAGCATTAAATAAACGATGATACGTTGGTTTGGTAGGATGCCATATATATAGCAATAACTATATAATACGTTGGTTTCGTTGGATGCACTATAACTAGCGTTAAATATACCTTTATACGTTGGTTTTCTTGGATGCACTCTAACTAGCACTAAATAAATATCTGCTTTGGTTTGGTTGGATTCTTATATTCTATAACTAGCACTAAGTAAATAACTGCTTTGGTTGGATTCTTATACTCTATAACTATCACTAAATAAATAACTGTTTTGGTTTGGTGGGATGCCCTATATCTAGCCCTAAATATATAATTTTACGCTCGTTTGATTGGATGCCCTATAAGTAGCAATAAATAAATCATGTTAGGTTGGTTTAGTTTGATACCCTATAACAAGCAATAAATAAATGATGATAGGTTGGTTTAGTTGTTGAATTCTGATTCTGTATAAATAAAACTAAATAAATAATAATGCGATGGTTTTGTTGAATTCTGATGCTGTATAAATAGCACTAAATAAATAATAATACGTTAGTTTTGTTGAATTCTGATGCTGTAAGAATAGCACTAAATAAATACTAATGCGTTAGTTTTGTTGAATTCTGAGGGTGTAAGAATAGCACTAAATAAATAATTGATTGGTTTTGTTGAATTCTGATGCTGTATAAATATCACTAAATAAATAATTGATTGGTTTTGTTGAATTCTGATACTGCATATATAGCACTAAATAAATAAGAATGGCTTGGTTTTGTTGAATTCTGATGTCCTAACTAGCACTAAATAAATAATTATGCGTTGGTTTCGTTGGATGCTGTACAACTAGCACTAAATAAATAATGATCTGTTGGTTTCGTTGAATTCTGGTACTCTATAACTAACACTAAATAAATAACTGCTTTGGTTTGGTTGGATTCTTATGCTCTCTAACTAGCACTAAATAAATAACAGCTTTGGTTTGGTTGGATTCTGATGCTTTATAACTAACACTAAATAAATAACTGCTTTGGTTTGGTTGGATTCTTATGCTCACTAACTAGCACTAAATAAATAACAGCTTTGGTTTGGTTGGATTCTGATGCTTTATA